AATCTACTCCTGAACACAATTTTGCTGCGTTCAAAAAAACGACTGTAACTCAACTGCCTGTAAACGACTGTAAACGACTGTGTGTACATGGACAGATAGGAAAACATTAGGGAGAGTTCAGGGGCTGCTGCAAAAATGCAAAAAACTCCTGAATGTCATTTTATCAGCTGCAGTGTACATGAGCCCCAAAAACTATCTTCAGTCATGGAATGTGTAATGCTAATGAGGAAACAATGACACTGTACTAATTTAAAAACACTCCATTAAATTTAAAGCGATATTAAACCCAAAACCAAAAATGTAGTATATTGCAGTTTACCAATCATTAGACGTGGTGGTTGCATTTGTTTTCTTTATTCCCTTATGTTCTCACCTGTTGATTTGGATAGTAACACACCTCCTGTATTAGAGTGCCTACACTTTGAATGAGGGAGCAACAGAGACACCTTGGACAGTGGTATTGTCAGTCTTGGGGGAGGGGAGTGTTAGATGTACTAGAATATGTATAGAATATGTATATGTATATAGATATACTAACAAGTTGAAGCCAAATTCAAGCTAACACTTTTTAAGCAGTTACACCAACTGTTTTTTCTCCTTTGGTGATAAAGGTTGTACAGAAATAAAGAAAAGCTGACCATTGTAAAAACCCATGTCAGTAGTAAATGGTTTGGTTCAACCCTCTAAATGCTACATATGCAGGACAACTTGTTCTGTTAAAAAATAACATATTTGTCTAAAAAATATAAAAATAACTTGCTGGCTAAATCACAACGTGAAATAAAGGAAAGGAAGTCTAAAAAAAAAAGAAGTCTAAGAAAACTAATGCATCTATGGATTGGGGCACTGCAATATAATAAATGTTTGGTTTGGGATTTAATAACACTTTAATATGAGCTTTTTAAATCTCTTTCATCTTTGCTGGATATGTGGAAAGGCCTTAGGGAGTATGGTACATATCTTCTGGTCTTGAGACAAGGTGCACCCTTTTTTGGACAGAGGTACAGATCAGCCACTTCAGCTGGATCCTGCTTTTTCCTGTTACACCATCATCCCCATCTAAACATATCCTACAAAAGATCTATACTCCCCTTGTTAATTAATGCAGCACATAGCTGTATACCAGCCTGTTGGAAACAATGGCAAGCTCCCTCCATGGCACAGAGGGAGGGAAATGGTCTCATTGGTATCAGTTCCTACAGACCTCTGAATACCAATCACTTCTGGATGCTAGGTGAAACTAAGTAATGGGGGAGTAGATTGTGAATGGGTTGCCTTTTTTTTCCTTTTCTCTTACCGCATGGATGAGACAAGTGTATGGAAAGGATTGATGGAGTATTATGAATTTATTATAATTTGGTGGTAAAAGGTCTTGATAATAGGTAGGCATAGTTGGGGATTTTTTTTTTAAGTCTGTCTGTTTTTCCTCTTTTTTTATAGATGGTTGGATAATGTCAGGTTTTGTAAGTTGAGGGTTGTAAATAATTATTTTTAGTTATTGTATGTTTTCTCTGTTTCTTTTTTTTGGTAAACAATCTGAAAAAATAATAAAGAAAGAATATATATAAAAAAAAAATCCAAATATGCCAAAATTAGATGGCATCTTGGAGTATTTTTGGAATTGCGCCATCTCATCATGTGCCTTTGTTACTTGAATGTCAGCGGATGGGGTTAGAAAGGTGCAGTGCCTGAACTAGAAAGTACATTATCCTGCAATTTTGTAGGTTTAGATTGAGGGTTGTTCTGATAATACTGGTAACTGTTTAGCAACATTTAATAACTAGATCATTCCTTTTCTGAAGAATGTCATGTAAAATGTATTTGCATTAGAAATAATGTTTAAACCACACCAGAGTACATTTTACCAAATGAAATCTAAAAGGTCCATTTCAACTCTAAAATCCACTCTCATCTACATACTTCCATTAGTCTTCTTAATATGAATTAAATGTATTTATATACCTATTGTCTTGATTTTAGCTTCCTGTCAATTAAGATTTGCCTTATATGGAGTGCAGCGCTAAAACAGTTACCAGTAATAATAAGCTTCGGAATACCACATGGTTCCACTGGTCAGTGTATTCAGGAGCTTATTATTACTCACAATCACCCTGTGCGTTTATGCTCATATTGTTACTTCATTTATTTTATCTTAATAAACCTTTACAATACTACACTATGAGCACTTCTATCTTTACCACTTGGCACTGAGCCTCCACACCTCATCCCAGTATTCCAGGTACCTGTCCAGGCTGGAGAAATAAGAGTGTTAGACCAGACCATTATCCCCGGCACCTACCATCTGAGCGACCACCAGAGGATACTCCCATCACCAGGCTATACCTTCACAGGACGTTCAGCTACATGAGATCTTGATACGCGCATTAAGATTGTGCTTCCGGTGAGTGGGCAATCTCTCTATATCACCATGTTGGGATACTGGAATACACTCGTTTTTGATTGAAATTATACTTATTACCTTGGACTGTTTATCACTCAGTTTATAGGACTCTATTACATAGGATTCATATCTGACCAATTGTATATACTGTTTATTGATTTATTCATCTCACTTTGTTAGCGCTGCACTTCATATTTTACATTGTATACACAAGAAAGGTTTTGTGGTACCTTTTTAGTGCAATAGCTGCTTACTAGGTGCGCTCGCTAGCTCACACATTTACAAGATTTGCCTTATGCACATGTGCTGCCAGGGATGCATGCAGACAGGAGAGCAGAGCATAGTAAGCAAAACTAAAGAGTCATCAGTACCTTGCTGTTTCTCCATTGTCCATTCAGCAGGCTTGCAGGCAGGTGTTAGGCTACAATTTGTCCTCCAACCTAAAGATGGTGCCTCTTCAGGCTGGCAGGAACTCACAGGGGACTAATCTATCCCCTATTCTGTCCTTGTGGCATTCATCTTGGGCAGGCAAGCATGCCTTATTGGATGCCGAAATCCTATGTGTTTTGATCATCCATTTCTGACATAGAAGTGCTTAAAAAGCATTTTCTGCATCATCCAAGTGCACCTACGATGTAGAAATATGTTAGAGACCCACTGGGAGACAGTAGAAGTAAAGTTAGGGATAGGTACCTGGCGAAGAGAGAAAGCACAGGTTTCCCGTCAGAGAGCATCTCTTCTGCCAGCTTCTTGGAGCTGCCTCTCACCTCCAGCTGGACAATCTGCAGGGCCTCTTAGGGGTCTTAGAGCAACATAATAGTCTGAATACCTCCTCCAAGGGATGTACTCCTTAATTATTCAATGGTTTGTACACTTACATTATATTGCTGTTTAAAAATGTACCCAAGAACATTTCCTAGTTCTTGGGTACTGTGGTTAACCCACGCCCATGTGCTAAAGACAGAGAGGTAACATGGATCACTGTGTTCCTTAACTCTTATGCTGGAAGGGAACTTTTACACTAACCCTCATTCCTGTGCAGCCATAGCAATAAATTGAAGAATAGGACTAAAGTGACTTGCACCCTTCTTTCTTGTGCCTATATTCACTGTGGCTATGGATCCACCCTGGGGTAATGCTAGCCCTCTTTCTGCATTGGGGGTGTGCTTTCCCTGGCCACAACCAGGAGGGGCACTACACCTTTATGCAAATAAGCCTTTTTTTTTCTAGAGTTTTCCCTTTCAACGTTGTATAGAGGACCTACAGTGTTCAAAAACTGATACATGATTCTTGTGTTATGAAGCCATTATTTTTATTCAATATTCATCATTATAACTTCTAACCAAAGGGTTAATCTCAAATCCTAACAATAAGGCATAACAACAGCAATTTGGAACAAAGTGTTCTTTAATGGTTTTATAATTAGGTTTACCATTTTTATTGAGGGGGGATTTGTGAAACATACAGATGGCAATGTCATTTATTTTTATCTGTGTTTATTTTAACAAGCCGAGAAAGTGCAACATAGCGCCAAGCAGAAACACAAGCTTTAACGGCCACACCCACTACGGCAACGCAAACATGTGTGCCTATTAAAATATAAAATTGAGGTGCAAGCTCAGGCTTTGTTTGTTAATTCATTTGCTAAGACATAACCCAGCGGTGATACATAAAAATGTAAGAGAAAAAAAATGCTGAAGCAAAATGGTAATAAAAAAATAATATGGCTCATTTCAAGAGTTGTTTTATGCATGCGAATATATTTTAGTTGTAATCTGTACTTTCAGCATGAATTGGTCTACTTTGTGTGAACAGTTTTAAATATATGGAGAGCAGTAAGATTTCTTGTTATTATAACTCTCTACCCATTGGGATCACACTGCACTCATGCTGCACCTGCTGTATATTTGCTGTTAGCTCTGTTCACCTCTACAGTTGTAAGACAAATGTATGAACCCTAAGGAATTATCTGGATTTTGGCATGGAAAGACTCCTAAAATGCATTCTGACCTTCATCTAAAGTCAATCCTATTTAACAAGCAACACACACAACATTGTACATTGCAATATCTTTCTTGAAAACTGAACTCAAGCCAATTAGCTAAATACAGAGTTGAAATTCATATATGAGTACTGATTTAAGAATTTGTCATTTTCTGCAGCTAGCTTTGTGATGCAGGCACCCCTGGCAGGCTGGACCGCCAGATCTTTGCTCTCCACTACAAAAGTAGCATAGTATTGTCAAGAACACAGGTAAAAAATACCTCAGCCTGCTGATTGGACAGTGAAGGAGCAGCAGAACACTGATAAGGTCATTACTTTTCTCACTGTTTTACTGCTCCTGCATGCACATCTTTTGTTCTTCCACAGAAGACTGCCCCATTAGTGCCATATAACCTGAATATTTTGTAATATATATCCGCGTTCCCATCGCCCTATAGCGGATAAACTGCTACAGGGCAGCAGGGGTGTGCAAAATCTCGTATATATACGTGATTTGACATTTCTGGGTAGGGGGTGCGTGCACGCCCTACCCACGCCATTATTCATGGCCTCAGCTGTCAATCACTGGCTGGTGATTACTCGCTGGCACATGATGATCATTGAGCATTACAAACGGGGGGAGAGAACTGTATGTAAACATTACAGCTCTCTCCCCTGTCAACTCCTGCACACTGCTTTGTTGGACTTTAACCTCCTTAGCGGTATTCCCGAGTGTAGCTCAGGGTAACATTTCAGTACCAAGAGCGGTAACCCCGAGCTACACTCGGGAATACCATGCGGCACTGCTCCGGCATTTGTTCTTCACCTATCTTACCCTGCGCTCCCGCGATGTGTCCCCTGCAGTGTCCCCGGCCATCTCCTCCGGCCGATGCCGACATCCAGCTTCTGTGTCCTGTCCCTGTGATGTCGGGACGTACGGGCGCCGCCGCCTCCGGCGGCGGGAAATTTAAAAATTTTTAAAAAATGTAATTTTTTGTTTTTTACATTTTACATAGTAAAACATTGCTGTCTCAACCAATTTCACATACATTTTGTCCCGAGTGCTTTGTCCGGCGCCCTGCCTGCATTTTGTCTGTTCTTTCTGCCTGGAAACTGAGAAATGTCCATGGCATCCAAAAAGTGTCCCTTTAGGTCAAATGCGGTTTTAGACCAGCTAGAGAACAACGATAGTAAATCAGAACCACTTGCAGAATTGAGTGATAATGATTCGTGGGGAAATTTATCATCAGACACTGAAAACGATTTTGCGACTGAGCTCAGCAATGTGCGAACTTGGCGCTATATTTCAAATTTCAGTGTTTTTGGTTTGATTATATTATTAAATTAAATTTTTTATTATTTTTATATTATTTTTATGATTATTTATTAAATTATAATTTATGATTTTGTGTTTCAAATTTTATCATACCCGGGATGTTTACTAGACTCTTGTTCGGACAGATTTCAGTGAGTTTTTCCTAAAAATTACAGGCCTACAATTAAAAAAATACATATTTCCATGCAAAAAAATGGTACCGCTTTCAGGACCAAAAATATGAAATAATCATACCGCCAGGGAGGTTAAAATGATTGTAAACCTCTGAAATTAAAAATGAACAGAGCATATTCCTCCCCAGTAATACTCAAAACCACGGAATCCTGGGTGACAGCCCCGTCCCACAACAGCACACAGCACACAGTTAACCCTTTGATCACCCCACATGTTAACCTCCTTCCTGCCCAGTGCCATTAGTACAGTGTCCGTGCTTTTTAATAGCACTGATCACTGTATTGGTGTCACTAGGGATGTCAGTGACACCAAATCAGTTTCCCCCAGTGTCAGAATGCCCTTCGCAGTCCCGCTATAAGCCGCCGATCGCAGCCATTACTAGTAAAAAAAAAAAAAAAAATCCCAGTATATTTACCGCCATTTGTAAACCCTAGAACTTTCAATTACTTAACACGTATTGGAATTTTTTAAGCAAAGATATGTAGCAGAATACATTTTGGCCTAAATTTATGACGAAATTTGATTTTTAAAATTTGTTTACTGGACATGTTTAATAGCTGTAACGGAAAAGACCCCAGACTGCACTTGCGTAATTCCATTAGACTACCACTTCCCATCCGAACACCGGCAACAGACACCACAGCTGACCATACAAGACTAGACGACACCAATCTTGAAGTAATCCAGAAAGTAGACTATTTTATTTTTACACAGATACAAGATATATACACTCAAGGAACAATCCCCCCCTCCCTGCATAATGACACAGGGCGGGGCAATCTACTTTTTGTAACTAGAGACACACCAACAGACAGTTCCATCAGGAGGGAGGGCTGCAGGAGACACCCCTACCAAGCCAATACACATAAACACACATATCCCATAATAGTTTGCTCCCAAGCCAGACACACAATTGAACAATGGGATGCAACCATAACACCAAACAATCCACAACCCCCACCTATCTCCTAGACAATATTAGGACAGATCACCCTGTACCCCTAACAGGCACAGGGTGACTTACACATAAGAGGGATATGGGGAGCTGAGACAGGAGTCTCCCCACCTCTCCAAAGTGAGCTGGGTTCCATGGGCCCCCCACCCAAAGTGACTCCCGTTACAATGCAAAAAGTCAAAAATATTGTTTTTTTTCTCAAAATTATCAGTCTTTTCTAGAGCAATACATTAAAAATGCACAGGTGATCAAATAGCACCAAAAGAAAGCTCTATTCATGGGAAAAAAGGGCGTAAATTTAATTTGGGTGCAGCGTTGCATGACCACCCAGTTGTTAGTTGAAGTAATATAGCGCCGTAACACAAAAAATGGCCTGGTGGGGGAGGGGGGTAAATCCTCTGGAGAGATGGCAACCTTTATTTGTGTTTACAAAGCAGTGGTTTTTCTATTGCTGCTGACCATGACCACCAGTCCTATTTTGTGCTTTCCTGAATTTTTTTTTAATGCTCATTTGTAAGATCTTTATGACTTGTAGCTCCTTTTGTTGGACTTTAAAATTATTTTAAACCTCTGAAATTAAAAATGAACAGAGTATATTTCTCCCCAGTCATACTCAACACCACAGAATCCCGGGTGACAGCCTGCCCCACTTTAGCACATGGCAAGTGATTGACAGCCTCAGCTGTGCTTTTTTCTATGAGTGAGTGTAAAGGGAGAGTGTGTGTGCACCCCTTCCACTCAGGTCTCAGATTACACTCAGTTCCTCAATACACAAGGCAGAGTATGGCATCAGATCCTTGCGCCCCCCCATGTTCTGAAGCTGAGAAAAAGCCATTGATCTGTGCATTTTAGGAGGATATAGAGGAGAGAGGGCTGCAGATAAACATGTACATCTTACTGTATGTAGAAGGATTTGTTTCATTTCTGTCTATCACCTGAGGCTAGTCACTTCAAAGGGAATATGTAAGGGTTTACAACCACTTTAACGTAATACATATCAATGCTTTTTCTCCATTCAACTTGTTATTATCATTATATGTGGTGTTTTTTAAGCACTGATTAACGTGGTGGGTTTTGTTGGTTTACAACAAGGTTGCCTTTATTATTTAATGAGCTTGTTAAAAACAGAACATATTTTCAGATTAGTTTATTATAATATCCTGATACCCCCTACAGGTTCACAACCTTTTTCTCCAAATATATTTGTAGTTTTTCAGTACATATTGTAAATGTTCTGTTCAAGTGCTATCTTCATGGACTTTTTCTTCCAGTATGCTTTGAGTCTTCAGGTCTCTTGTGACTATTAGGACTAATGATATCACTGGGACATGTAAGATGATATCATTATGACAAATGTGGTAACACTGTTATGTTTACCACCCTTTTGTAAGGTCTTCTGATAATCATTAGTTTAGCTGACGGCTGCTTGCTGTTTTTGTAATGCAAAGTTATCCAACAATACACAAGGCAATGTGTGGCATCATATGGGTCATGTGCAGCTATCAGCAGCTTATTTTTTACCTACAAACTTGAGCAAAAATGGTTAAAGTGTATATAAAACCCAAATGTTTGTCTAGTTTTGGATAGAGTGTTGAAGAGTTAGTTTTTCATTTTTTTTTTGCTCTTTGTGTCATTGCTGGTGAAATTCACCCTCTATTCTGCTTCCCCAGTCTAAGCATTGCAAGTGTACACTCTATAATTGATCTAGTTGTGGTGATATAGCTAAAACTCACAATTTTTGCAGCATTGGCAGACAGTGATTCAATCCAAATGGCATCTTGCAGATCACAGGAAGTTCTAATTAATATATTTGCAGATCTTCACAGATGAAAATCAGGCTGGTAAAAAAAAATCATAGTATGTCTAACTCAAGCAATTACATGTGCTCATAAGAGAAACCAAAAATACGCTGACAAAGGGGGGGCTTGACACGCAGAGCATCTCCTAGCTTTGGAGTGAGGAAGGGAGAAAATTAGGTAAACAGCCACCTTTGCATGGGTAAAATAAAATGATACCATAAAATAATGGGAAATCTGAAATGTTTTAAATCATCACATGAACAGGAGTTGAGGGGGTATCTTCCAGTGGGGAAACCTGTTCTTGTGACAACTGTATAAGAGGAGTTATTCTTTGCTTTGGGCAGATCTCCTCTTACTTCTTGTTGTTTGTCTTGGGTAGGAAGTAAAGGGAAATTTCCTTAATGGGGCAGAGATGAAAAAAAAATCTGGATGCAAAAATAGCATTCCATATAGTTCCATATAGTTCGGACTGATGTGATGTTTCACAAGTCGTCTTCTTTTATGAAGGTGGTATACAGAACAGGAGACGTCACATTGGTTTGACTTGAATGGAGCTCCAGTAAAACTTTATACCGAAACCAGGTGTGGTGGCTATTCTTGTATCCAGTTCTGTGTGGTGTCACTGTTCACCAAGTACCCTTACTCCTTTATTAGCAAAATTAAGAGTTTTTGTGCAGGACCTTATAATATTTTGATAAAATATATGACCCAAATCTTAACCATTCCATACTCTATTCAACCACTTAATCTCTGGAAGATTTATCCCCCCCCCCCCTTCATGACCAGGTAATTTCTTGCTATATGGCACTGCGCTACTTTAACTGACAATTGCAATACTCACAATTGCAATACTGTGCACAATACACAATACTGGGCTTGTGTTAAAGCAAATCCCAGCAAAACCGGTCAGGATGGCTTTTCATTCTTCATGACCTCCAATGACAAGAACCATTCTGAGGCCAATGATACGATAAACATATTTACCAATTTCTATACAGCACCATCTCACTGCTCCAACTTTCATTACTTCTGAAGAACTCACCATATGCACATGGACTTTCTTTCCTTTATGCAACTCCCATTACCTATGAAACCTACAGCTTGTAATTTATCCTTTATTTAAACATAATATGGTTGTGTGAGGGAAGTTATGGAATTTTGCCCTGTTAATCCTCCTCTGGACGGTTCTTTTATCCATCAGGCAATGGAGGGAGGTAAAGGATCCCTGTAGACTTTTTGGCTTCCTCCTCTGGATCACACCAAATATACATAGATTGCTTTGGAAGAGCTTCAATATGTAGGCATTGTTGCGACATTCGTTTCAACATAACTCTGGTGTAAGAGGGAGGTTATTACCAAAGTGAATCAGTGACAAGATATGGTACCCTCCTCTGGACTGTGCATTGTTACTTCATACATGAACATTCAGTCCTGTTGTTATCAAGCTGTTTCTTTACAATGGCATTGATATATTGGATATTGTCCGACGAATTGTATGTAGACGAATTTATGGGATGTTTGAAAGCTTCAGGAGCTTGAATATGTTGTTTACCAACACAGATCTCTCTCCTGTCAGTAGCTCCGACAATCGGCAGTTCCCAGCTGTGAATCACCATCCGGGCTGATAGGCATGTCCGGGATCCAATGCGCACCCCCTACCTGGAATAGCAGAATCACGTATATATACATGATTTTGCACAACCAGCCTGCACTGTAGCAGTAAAGCTACAGTACATGGTTGGCAAGCAGTTAAAACCAAACCAAAAAAATTGTCTTTACATACATTTTAACGCAAGGCTAACACACCTAATGCTTTATTAAAAAATATACAGTACCTGACACTAGAAATGTAATGCTCTTCATCCTGAGTGTATCTTCAATCACAGATGATCCTTAGGAGTGCACTTGGACTTTTTATTTCTATATATTTCATGTTGATGACAGTATACAAAGACTGATGCAGGATGTATTTCCTTTCTGCTTATTTTCTGCGTTACCATTGTTACATCTGCAGATGCTTTCCAGGAAAATCCCATCAGAAATGTGTAAAATATGATCACGATTAATATATCTATCTGTTGCAGGTTATAATAGTGTTAAATATGTTTTTTATTAATAAAAGCAATTGAAATTAAAATAATTTCTAGGTATACTTTGCATTTGAGCTGGTGCAGCTCATTGTGACCAATATAATCTTGAAGAGCCATAAAGCATTACTTATCCATTATTGGTATGTTTATTAAATTGGACTATTAGGGTTTTTATTGTCAGTTGCCTATACCTATTAACTTTAAAAGCCTACATTATTATAATGGATGATGGCGTTACATCTACAATTCAGAGAAGAAGAGAAATTTTATGGTATCAATTTTACTGCCAACTAGGAATATTTTCATAAACATGGACATCTTTCTGGGTTAAAGTTAATGTAGTATATAGATGTAGAATTTCATTTTCCTAGGCACTTCGTAAACATACACAATTTACAGTTTATTTATCTTTTGGGGAAAAAAAATGTTTTCACCTTTTTGCATTTTTTTTTTGCATCTCAGGGCTGCTTATTTCCTCTGGCTTCTTTAAAACTACTCACTGTCTACATGCACTTGCTCAAG